CTGTATGTTAGAGATAAAAGATATTTAAAAAAAAATAAAAAATAAAATAAATTTAGTAATTAATAATAAAAATTATTATAAATTAAAAAAAACAAAAACTATTATCATTTTTGTTGTTGTTGTAAATAATTAGTTACTTTTAGTTAGATAGACAACATGTATAATAAATTAAAATTAATTTATGTTTAAATAAGTTTAAATGTATTTTAACATAATATAAATCATAAATCACAAATATATTAATATATTTAATAAAATCAATTATAAATTTATATATTTAATTAGATGTTAGTTTATTTTTTTTAAAAATTAGTACTGAATTAGTCGATAATCATAATTAGTTAGCAATAATTTCAATTTTTTTTTAAATTCAGATAATTGTTATTTAAATTAAATAAAAATACATAAACATAAAACTAAATAATTAATTTTATTATTAAATAAAGTAAAATACACTAACAAACAAAAAATAAACTTTAATTAAACATAAGTGTTAATTTGCATGTAGTTTAACAATAATATTAAAATAATAATAATCATAAAAATAAGTTAAAACTAGAGTTAAATTGTTTAAGATTTAATCTACTTATATATAWATAATTTTTTCCTATCTCTATATATTATTAAAGTATTTATGTTTAAATAAGTTTAAATATAAATATATAARAAAAATCAATTACAAATTTAYACATTTAATTAAGTGTTAGTTTATTTTTTTATTATTACTACTGAATTAGTCGATAATCATAATTAGTTAGCAATAATTTTTTTTTTTTAAATTCAGATAATTGTCATTTAAATTAAATAAAAATACATAAACATAAGTTATTTTAAACCAAACAAAAAATAAAAATTATTATTAAATAAAATACACTAACAAACAAAAAATAAACTTTAATTAAACATAAGTGTTAATTTGCATTTAGTTTAACAGTAATATTAAAATAATAAAAATAAGTTAAAACTAGATTTAAATTGTTTAAGATTTAATCTACTTATATATAAATATTTTTTTCTCTCTCTATATATTATTAAAGTATTTATTTTTATGACTAAATTATTTATTTAGTTATATGGGGCTAATAATAGCTAAATAACATTAAATAATATTCATATATATATATATATATATATATACTGTATATATATAGGTATATATATTACTGGAAATAATATATTAACACATTTGTTTCAATATGTTTGTTACTGCAAAACTAAAATAGATATTAAAATAATAAAAATTCAAATTAAATTGTTTAATTAAAAATTGTTAAAATCCATAGTATTTTGGGAATACTATATTTGGTTGTTATAAAAATATATACAAAAATATATACTATATATAGTAATATATATAAACAAACATTCAATTAGATAGAGAATATTCTGTAATTATTTTAGTTTATATATAAATATATATAAATTTTTAAGGATTAACGAGAAATTTTTAATTATTATTTGTTTTAATTGTTAATTGTTTTTAGTTTTGTTTAATATAATTTTTGAAAATTATTATTAATAATTTAAAAACAATTTAAATCTCACAAAAATAATTATGAGTTTTAAAGATTTATATTTGTTAATTAAACTTAATTAAATAAATTATTTAAATAAAATACATAAATACTCAATATATTTATAAAACAATATTTAATTTAATTTTTTTTTAATTTATACTAATATTGTGATAAATATTTTTAAAGTGTGTTATTATTATTATTATTATTATTTTTATTTATTGATTAAATAATTTTTATATTGTTTTTTACTAAAAAAATAAAATAAAATAAAAATTATCTTATCATATTAAAGTTATGTTTTTATTTATTGGTTTGTTTTATTGAATTTTATTATGTTGTAAATATTATATTATATTAGTAATAGTTATATATATATAACAAATAAAACAAAACAAAACTAATAGTAAAAAAATATATATAAATAAAAAAATTGGTTTTTTGAAAAAAAATACTATCCATGGTTCATAAATTTTTCTAAAACAATTTATGGTTCATTTAATTTCTATATAAATAAATATATATATATATGTTATTATATAAATTTATAAAAGTATATTAGTATTATTATTATTATTATTATTATCAAAGTTATTAGATTTGAGCATATTTTTTGTTATCGCATTTGTATTTTTTTTATTGTTTTTGTTTTTTAACAGTTTTTTTCAAAAAATTTTATTTTATATAAACTTTATTATTATTATTATTATTATAAACTATAGAAAWATATAATAATAATAATAATTTTATTTATTTTTGACTTATTGTATATGATATTAAATAAATTACAATATTTTCTTAATTGAAGATCTTTTCAAAATTTATTGATTAAACAAATTTTATTTATTTATTTTTTTTGGTTATAATGCAAAATAATAAAATAAAATAAAAAAAATATCATAATATATAAAAATACAATTTCTATTGGTTTACTAAAATATATTACAATATCAGCAGAAAATCTTAAATATATATATATATAT